TCTTTCCCAACATTATTGAGACAAATATCAGGCGGTTCACGATCGTTTTATATTTTTTGGACGTCATTTAACGGTTCTTTTTCTTGTTTTAAATAATGCTTACATGGCGTTCCCATATTTGGGTTTATCGTTCCCAAACATGGGAACGATAATGCGTTCCCGAAAATGGGTACGCTTGACCATAGTTCCGCCTACTGATATGGTCCAAGCTCTGCCCCCTAGAATCAATATTTTGATGCCTCCATATTTTGATTCCCGCCGCCTAGTTTGCCCAACTGATATATCAATATGGTCATCACCCCACCCACTCCAGCCGTTTATTGGCTAATCAATTTTTGGATCTTCGCCTGGTAGTTTCCCAACTCTTCACTTCATATTGAATTGATATTGATCATCATATTGAATTGCATGCAATGTTTGTGCTTCTTTACAGGTCACTCAGTGAACAAAATACCTCCCAGATGTAACTTCACAGACATAGGCGGCGGAACGGGGAGGGCACCGTGCCCCCTTGATTTTGGCATTTTAACATTAGCCCTGTGTGCGTTGCATGGAAAGAATGGGACCAAAAGTCGGCAGTGCCCACCCCCCTTAATTGAAGGTGTGCCGCTGCTACTGTTCACAGAGGGCATGGACAGAGCGAATAAAAAGGATTTGACTTACCTTATGCCAAGGCCGCCGGCCATTCGAACTTCTGGCGCAGGGCATCAGCCCCCCAATCAAGACATGCAGAGAAGACTCGTAGAGCCATCAAGAAGACGCACATTTCTCAGATCATGTTTTATAACAACTTGATAACAACCCGAGGTCTCGCAAAAGCCTATCATTTGGCAATTTCATGGCGCCCAACTCCGACGTCCGCCCTCTGCGACCTAGCAGCGCAAAAGAACGCCACCTGCTGCCACGAAATACACGTGAATCCGCGGCTGAATTGCTACCATATGAAAACTGCCATATGAAGTTTCTCCTTATCTAATACAGTTTTTCCTTTACCATTTTAATAAGTACAAAACAAAAATATAATGTATAATACCGATATTTCGAAAATATGTGTGCATTCAAGTCACATAACAAAATATAGAAGGGCTAAAATGAGGTCATGGGAATCAATATCATGAGAAGCCCATAAACATCTAAAGTGTTTTTTCTATCGTGGAAACTAAATAAAAATACCCTTACAAAGAAAGTGGATGACATATATGGGGCGCATGTCACATTTATGAGCGATGGCAAATTCGTTCAGTGGCAAATTCCGACGTTTGGTTGTTGTTGTTTTGTTGTTTTGGGTTAGGGCTCGAGGCTTGGATAAGTCGGGGTGTATTTAGGGCCTTGAGTCGGGGTTTGTGTGTTGTGGCCCCCCACTGGAGCAAATTGGTCCATGGGTTAGTTCAATACCTTCCTTGTCTCTAGATCCAATCTTTCTGGTTCGATTTCCGGACAATACACGTGACAAGTGACATTAAGGCTAATGGCTCGTTTTTGGATTCAGGATTGTCTATACATTCATCCGCCTGAGCTTGAGCTGCACTCCTCCAAATTTTGTAAGGCATTTCAAACCTTCCTGATAGCTTTGTTTTTGGCAGGGCAGGTTGAGGTTGAGGTATGGAAGGTCAAGGTCCAAGCATAGGCGCGGGAGCCGGGGGGGCAGTGGGGGCACCTTGCCCCCCCAACTCTGGGGCCGTGGGGGCGGTGCCCCCACAGCTTTGAGACGGAATACCACACTTTTTTTGCAAATGTTTTCTTTTTTTGTTGAAAAAGCCGAGGGGTGAAAAATAAGTGGCCTAAAACCGGTGAGAAAACTAGATTTGGGGGTACCCTAGGTTGATCTCTATTATGGTGTGCCCCCCCAGTTGGAAAGTAGTTCCCGCGCCCCTGGGTCCAAGGCTCTTGCGTTGTCTGCCTCACCCATACTGTTTTGTATCATTCTGCTTTTAGATTAACCAAAATGGCAAAAAATTGGCTGTCAACATGCATCGAGAAATTTGGCAGCTGGCAGTGCTGAAGAATTTTTAGGCCGCCATATGTGAAATTCAGCATGTGTGAGATTACACTGGAGCTGGATTTGCTCCAATCCAGCCACTATGCTGGACATATTATTCTGCATAGCTTGTTTTTTCAGTCTTGGCTGGTCAGTGGTCTCTTGGTGCCTGGTGGTAAGAGCCCAAGTTCAAGTCACTCCGGTGCTTGAGATATGATCATAGGCGGCGGAACGGGGAGAGCACCGAGGCACTGTGCTCCCCTTTGAGTTCAGCATTTTAACATTAGCCTTATGGGCATTGCATGGAAAGAATGGGACCAAAAGTCAGCACTCAGTGACCCCCCCCCCCCTTAATTGAAGGTGTTCCGCTGCTACTGGATATGATGCTTTCATTGGTGTTGATGGGGATGGTCTGACTCAGGCTGATGGGAGCAGCTCAAGCTGCAAGCCGTTGAAGTCAGTGGAGTGGGCCAGCCACCAGGCAGTGTCTGGCCATGCCTGCTGTGGCATTCGACTTGTCCTACTCTCTGGCCTGTCCCTACCAGATGGAATAAGCCTATGTGAAATGCTCTGTGTAGCTGAGCTCTGGGTTTATCTATCCATCTATCCATGTATTCCAACATGGCGCCTAGTTTTATTTTTATGTTTTTATTTTTTATTTTCTAAGAAGTAAGAGCAGGCTGCTTATTATTAGCATACAGTTTAGCTCAATTTTCATGCACATTCAAATTTAAGATGGTAACAGTTTCCTTTCACTCATCCATACCTATCTCTAATTTCTTATCAAATGTCACGGACAGGGGTATGCCAAATTTGTCATCTCAAATATTGACCTTAAACATCTGCAATTAGGGTGCCCTAAAGTTGATTAGAATTGCATGGTGCTGTCAATGCAACTGCTGCCATTTTCATTTACTGTTAATGTTTCATTCGATAATGTTTCATTCATTCGATTTCAGAGAGTGTGTTCTGATAACCTTTTTCATTTACATATTACTCTGTTTCCCCTTACTCAGGCCGCAGTATGTACCGCTGAACCACTGCTGTTGTCGACCGAGTCTCTGCACCTCTGCCGGCCGATGATGCCCGCCTAGCGCCATGGCGTGGAACTGGTACCGGTGCTACGTGCGCTGGCGGCACGGTGCTCGCCGCCTGCCGCGCCGCCTCCTGCTGACTGTGGTGTGCGTGCCGCTGCTGCTCGCCGCGCTGGTGTTCTTCCGACTACGCGCCGACCCGGTCTCGGCGCCGCTCGGGCAGCGCAAATACGAGCGGGCGCTGGCGCTGAGAGACCCGCCGCCGGTGCAGGAGGCGCATGGAGACGATCGGAACAGACGGCGGGCCCCGCCCGAGCCTGTGAAGGCGGTCCCGCCTGAGCTCTTGAGGCCGGCCGCGCCCGAGCCTGTGAAGGCAGCCCCTCTACACGGCGGAGTGGAGGCGGAGATCCAGCCGCCAGCCGCGAAGCCTCCCGACGTTCCAGTCGGCGTGAGACCGGAAGTAGCGACCCTCTACCGGCTGCCCGAGTTCACCTGTCTTCGCAGTGGCGAGGTGCTGCCGCGGTCGCGCATCAATGACGACTACTGCGACTGTGCCGACGCCACGGACGAGCCCGGCACGGCGGCGTGCGCGCACGGCTCGTTTCACTGTCATGGCGTCGACATCCCGTCCAGCCGCGTCAGGGACGGTGTGTGCGACTGCTGCGACGGGTCGGACGAGGTCGGTGGGCCGACGCCCGCCTTCCGCCAGCCTCCAGAGGTACAGCGGAGGCTGGGCCGCTACCAGCCGCCGTGTCCCAACACGTGCAGGTAGGACTTCTGGGACACTTGGCGGCGGTCGTTGTGAACGCAAAGTTTGTGAGTCGTCCGCTAGTTCTGTATGGCGTGGTGGCACGGAGCGAAAGGGTAGGCGAACGTTGGGCTTCCAATGGCATGAACTGCTGGAGTGGAATTCGAATTTCCATGGGCATGGAAGGATTCACGGAAGGCGTTTTTTCAAACTGCTGGTTATTAGGCACTGCTGGGAAGAGATGTGATATGTGGCGAACTGTTTCTAGCATGAAAGCCGACCCCTTTGAGCGTAAACGACTGTTCCGGTGTAAAGTTACACGTAGAAGTGCAAGCATAATTGTGTAAGTTATAGGATATGAGCGACTGATCAGTGTAACACTATGTGTATACACTCACTCGTCAAGAGGCTACTACCGCAGCATAGCTCTGCGGTTGTTGTTTATCGTCTGTTGGTTTAGCACTTGCGTCATAGTTGAACCACCTACTCCTCTCGTGGCATTCGGCATCCAGGATATTGGCTATCAAGGTCGAGGGATGCTGACGATAACTATGGGATGCCAACTTCCCTCGAGTGTTTTAGCGAACTGTCTCATGCGAGGCTGTGCTAATGTTTGTATAAATAGTCTTATAACGGTGTTTGCTAGTTATGCTCAGGAGATGTTGTTTCTTTTGTACCAAAGGTTGTGACGAATTCATTGTAACACAGTTACCTCCTCTTATGCATTCCAAGTTTTGCTGGTTTGATTTGCCTGAATTTTGCGATGCCTACTATTTTAGCGGTGGACGCCAATGATCATCGCAGTCTGGGCGCCCTAAACCCCAAATCATACTACTATTTTGACGGAGAAATTTTGTGCAGCTGTTAAGGCGTAGGTATTTCCCGCTCTAGACGGAGGTCAACTTGTCCTGCATAGTTAGATCTGCGAAGCACACAGTGTGTGTATATTTGTGGAACGCAATATACTGGAGTGTTTACGCCGTGAATAGAATTGCCTCTGATATGTGCGGGCTGATCCAAATTGTGGGCGTTATACCGGATGCGGACACCTACGCTGCATCATACACAGGCTACTATTACGAATATAGACCCGGGGGTATTGTTTCTGAGTTATTTCTGGCAATATTTGTCGTTCGTTCACCAGCTTTGTCCCAGTTTTCCATGTAGTCGCCCATGTAGTTTCCATGTAGTTCCAACTGTCGCAGTGCAGCCGTATGCTACATCAGGTATTGACAATTTCCAGTTGCCGCGCCCAAAATGGCGATCATGCTATATTATATTCATTTCGGCTATCACATGACAAAGCCTCACTGGAGAGAATTTACCAATTTTTACAGCGCACCCCTAAACCCTTTCCAAGCCTTTGGGTTTTGTGACAAAACCCAGGTACAAAACCCAGGTACAGTCGTGGACAAAACTTTTGTCCACGATTGTACCACGTTGGAAGCCTCTGGGTCCGGTCGAGTCAATCTTGCGTGTCCAGCTCCATGGTGAACCTGAGGTCAGTTCCCTTCAGCTTGTCTTCGAGCCAGCGGTCGAACTTGTCGTTCATCTCGGCTGTGAAAGCGCCCTTCCAATCGCCCGTCTTGCCCTTCCTGATGAAGTCGGTTCTGTCAGTGTACGCCACGCCATCCTGTTTTAGGTTCTCTCGGTTGACGTAGGGGTTCTTCTTGAAGTTGTCGATGTGCAGGTGCTCGGCCAGCTTGGTCACCTGTTCTTCAGAGAAATCCTTTCCCAGGAACTTGGCCACCTTGCGGATCTGCGATTTGAGATCGCGTTTCATGTCCTCGTAGAAGAGGAAGCAGAGGTTGGGGTGGGGACGCAGGTTCCAGGCCTCTATCATGTGCTCCACGCAGGGAAGATCGGTAATGTTGCCATCCATGAAGTACTGCAGGAACAGCTGCCGAGAAAAAAAAGCATTCCACTTTGTTAGTCGCCGGAAACTGGTGCTTTAGTTTTTACCCCATGGACGCTGTCACGCTGCTGAGCTGATGCTCTGAAACGTTAAGACATGGACATTCTCTTTGACAACAGTCAACACCTGTCTAAAAAGTGAAATAGTTCCTCGTGACCCTACATCAGTTAGCAGACGCCAGATGTCTCTTCCGTTTACAACCAATGATTATAGTTCCCGGATGATATGCAGCGCATAAACACCCGTCAACCCACCTCGAAGTCGCCCTCGAAGTCGTAGCAGTAGAAGAAGCGGCTGTGGTGGTAGAGGGACACGCAGAGGTCCTTGGGATTCCTGGCCACGTAGACCACCCGGCAGGTCTCCAGCAGCTGCGGCCGGTACATGGACAGTGGCAGGTGGCACTTGACGTAGCGCGGCGCCGGTCGGTGTGGGTCGCCGGTCAGCGCGCTGAAGTCATCCGTCGGACCGCGGAACCAGCGGGGCATGTCGTCCTTGTCGATCACGGTCACAAAGTCGGGAAAGTTCCACCTGGGAAGGCATTCGGGCTGGATGAAGAAGAACGCTGTAAACGCCTTTCCATCGAACCCGGAAACGTCTTTACAAATTTATCATCAGTATTTCGATACCATAGTGATTTTATCGTGGACGGAAGCTTCAACTGATCGTTAGGTGGTACGGGCGGACATCGATAGCAGCGCCTCTATCGGTCACTGGGGAAAGCTGGGCTGTAGGCGACGATATACCGGCTGAGTTGTCACACGTTGAATAGGTTTATAGCCATCCGTCTTGTGAAAAGGTTGAACTTTTGCCTTTAATATTTCTACAGGCAATTTTAGAAGTGTCTTCACATGGATTACAAAACCGTTTAGATTATTGTATTCACATCAAGCCTTTCCTATTGTTCTTGATGGTGCGGGAACTATTTCTAATTAGTGTTTCTAGCTTAGTAAAAGAGCATACTGTGCAAACGATGAAAAAAGCATAAATGGAAGATTTTAAATGCAATTTTCTCTAACAATTATTGGTAAATTCTCTACATATCAAGGAAAAGGTGCATGCTATTTGATAATTTAAAGTTCTTGGGGCTAGTTGTTTTCTTCTTTTCTTACGTCGCCCCAATGGCCGCGAATACACTTGTGATAACGCCTATCGTTTGGTATGAACATAGACCTCTGTACACCGGTGTACAGAGGTCTATGGTATGAAAAATCTACTTGAAAGTTGAAGTTACTTGAAAAATCTACTTGACGGGAATGCAACCATTTCCGGTTTTTATGAGCGGCGGGCGGGCCTCTGCATGGCCCCCTCGGCAGTGACTTCTCAACTCCTACCTGTCTGGCATCAGTGGTGATTTGGCTCCTTCATAATCCAGATCGTTGGCGATAAGCCACACCATTTCCTGGCTCCAGGTGGTTCCGCACTTTGGCGGCGTCACCAGCCAAACGTCACGTGGATCCAGCGGGTAGTTGAATATGCCATCCAGCTCTTGTTCCGTGGTCGTGGCGGACACCTTGTAGCCCCAGTGGTTGCAGCTGACAAGGCCGTTGGGGAAGCCCCTGAAGTCGCTGGCGATTCTCTTCTGGATGTCGTCTGGCAGGGGAATCATCTTGAACGGCAGCTGCTGACTCTTCGACATCTGGAGTGAAGATTAGGTAGTGGAAAGGGATGTGGTCATAGAGATCTTACATGATGTGGTAGGTTGGGACTCACTCCCGAGAGAGACATTAGGAAACTATTTAAAAACAATACACCTTTACGTTACAAAAGCTACGAAAAGTCGGTTCAGGTTTTGAGCTAAAAGAATGTAGCAAGCCGCGCTTTAGGTATATTCTGTAGGTATACGCTTTTATAGATATACACTTCAGGTTATTACACCCAAGACACCCCACCATTGACATCCTGCACTCGTTATGGACTGCAAAAGCCAAAAGGCTCGCCTTTCATCGAGCAACGCGTTATTATTCGTACGCTCCGTCGATCTTATTTTACAGAGGCTGAAAGTATTCAATAAGTCGTCTTGTAAAGCGTTAGCTAGAAACACTCCTTATTGGAATCATGCGCCTCTGTGTGTTCATTCATGCTATTGACTATCTCAACACCCAATTGGCTCACCTTGAACATATAACCAATCACGGTATCCCACGGCTGCGTTCTCGAATAGATCACCGACAGCGAATAGACCTGGAGACGAATAGATCAGCGACAACGAGTAGATCTAACAACACTGGCACCAGTCACAGTGAGCACTCTGCACTCCCGCGCCAGTCCTATACACGGATAGCTCTAATTGGTGAATGAATACTGCGCACCGCACCCCGCGCTATACACGTTACAACACAAACTGCACACAGTGCACGAGAGCGCCCACAGCCGAGTTGCCGAGTCGCCTGGGCCTGGCGGGTTACGTCACCAGTAAAAACAGGACCGCTCTCTGGTGCAGCGTGCCGGCACGGGTGTATGGAGCCTCTGACTGACCGACGCGGCGGCGTGGTGGTAACGGCACTGCTGGGCGAGTGGCCGGACAGGAAGGGAATCTGAAAACAGCTGCGATAAAATATGGATATGATGTCAATTTTACAACACTCCTTCTTCATGAAACATTCAACTTAGGTTCGTCAAAATATTAGATAACGAATTAAATCATCATGGCAGAATTATACGTTGAACAAACTAGGTATTCACTGAAAAAACTTACTCCCATTTTCTAATTTTAGAATGCCAAAAAGCACTCCTGCAATCGAATAATTTTATGACCTGGCATAAGCGCCTAAAATGGGGAGTTTTGGGGAATAAAACTAGCGTATAGAATATATTTAGTATCCGAACGCTTATATTATTCGTGCTAGGGAGTAATTTTATGACGGAGGATAAAAGTATGCTATCTTTGGATAAAATTACACCAGATGATAATTTTATTAACTTAATACTAAAATTACTCCCATTCGGGGAATAATATTGCCATGCCAAAAAGCACTCCTTTTTTCGATAATTTTACCCCGGAGTAACTCCCCGGTAAAATCAAGCCCCGGTGTAAAAGTAGGTACCACCCCTGATAATGCGGGGTGATGTGATAATATTATGACCAAGTGTAAAATAAGGAATGCATTTAAACAATGTATTGAAACACCAACAATTGATTAACGAATGGTACCTGAGCATCAGCAGGTACATCTTAATTTGGACGCACTTCCAGTGATGGCGCACTGCGGCCGACAGGGACGTAATTTTGCTTCCTAGTTGAGAAGCGGCGTCTCAACTGCAGGGAGGCAAAACTTCGTCTCTGCCGGCCGCAATGCGAAATCACTGCGGGAAGGACGTTCAAGGTCACAACTCACAAGGGCGTTATGGTTAACCCGCGCCCGGCTGGGGGTCCTGGATTTCCACGCCCTGCTGGGGGGGGGGGGTGTTTGAACACCCCCCTTCTAACTCGGCTCCTGGGCCACGTAGCGATACGCGGAAGGCGGCGATCGAAAGAGCGTCAAAAATAATGACGAAATCACTTCGGTCAATTTTTTGGTCAGGTCAAAGGTCAGGTCACCAGAGGTCATTGAAGGCAAAATTTCGCCGATTTCCAGGTCGAATGTCGAAAATTTCCAAGAAGCCAACGCATAACTCGGGAACCAATAGAGCTACAGCGCCGCGGAAAAGCGCATTCGATAGCCCTATTAACGCCCTTTCTGAGTAATTCTCTCAGATTTGACCTAACGTCAACGGTTTTGCCTGCAGGGGGTAAAAACTGCAAAAATAGCCGATTTTTTCGGAAACAGTTTTTCTGCAATAACTTTTGACCCAAGCCTTGTACGAGCTTACTTTTACCGGCATCGTGTTCCTCTCGTCAAGACGCATCGAATGAACTATAACTTGACCTTGAAAGGTCAACTTGAAAATTTGACCTCAGGTCAAGGTCATGACCTGACCGGAAAGGGTCATGTTGCATATCAGTCGATCCGTATCGTCGAGCTGAACACATCTAAGGTGTTTTCATCGCTCTAGCATGCCTCTATCAAAAGTTATTTGCGAAAAACTGTTAGATACCATTCATGACCTAAGATGACCTCAGGGCATAAACAGGGGTCACGGACACCATTTTCATGTTCAGTGTGTCTAAACCACTTGTAATTCAGTGTTTGGGAGTGTTTATAATGTCTTTCGTCCAAAAGAGACGCATTTCAATTTTCTCCCATTGACTTATAATGGGGAGGTCGCAAAATTGACCTGACCTTAGGTCATCGATATCAAAATTCTGAGATATACATTTTATACATGCTATTGCTCTTAGCAATCGCTGAAAGTTTCAAAGCGATCGGTCACTCGGTGTAGCTATGACAGACATTGAAACTTTTTATGAGGTGAGGTCACTTCAAGTGACCTGGTGACCTGACCTTGAATGACCTTGGTCTGAAATTTTCACAACATGTGTAGAATTGATGCATGATAAGGTGTACCAAAAACGGCGGCGCTCCGCGCCGCCGTTTTTGAGATATTCGCGAAAAACCACAAGGGGGGGTGTTCAAACACCCCCCCCCCCCAGCAGGGCGCGGGTTAACACTGAGGCTAACGAATAACATCTGCGCACAGAACCACCGCCACGGATGGCAGATAAAACGAGCGTGTATGGTTAACACTGAGGCTAACGAATAACATCTGCGCACAGAACCACCGCCACGGATGGCAGATAAAACGAGCGTGTATGGTTAACACTGAGGCTTACGAATAACATCTGCGCAAAGAACCACCGCCACGGATGGCAGATAAAACGAGCGTGTATGGTTAACACTGAGGCTAACGAATAACATCTGCGCACAGAACCACCGCCACGGATGGCAGATAAAACGAGCGTCAAGCGTGTATGGTTAACACTGAGGCTAACGAATAACATCTGCGCACAGAACCACCGCCACGGATGGCAGATAAAACGAGCGTGTATGGTTAACACTGAGGCTAACGAATAACATCTGCGCACAGAACCACCGCCACGGATGGCATATAAAACGAGCGTGATCTGGGCTATGAAAGACGTACTGAGACTCATTGGCGTACTGAGACCGCCGCAGCTGAATTAGTCATAATACAGAGGCTCCAGTAGTGTGAGCCACACGTTGCGAGTCACTTGAGCCACAGGTGAGCCACAAGTCACGAGTCACTTGAACCACAGGTGAGCCACAGGTTGCCAGTCATTCGAGTGGGCATCTCCGATGCTGGTTCTACACTACCTGGGTAACCTCCCACACCTTCTGTGATAAGCCAGATAGGTTTACTTTACATCGAATCCCACACTCCGGTAAAGAATCTCGAACAGGGCCCTGCAGGGCCCCGTGAACTTTGTGTAGAAGACAGCGTGGGCGGCCGTCATTAGGGCCACGGTCTCCAACCTGGTGGCCGGCAGTTGGCAGACCACCACACCGTCCACCGATAGTTCCTCACCTGCCTGACAGTGACGAACCCCGTTTCTCGGATCCGCCAAGGTGCCAATGGTTGTTCCACAACCATAGGCAAGTAGAGCTAGCAGCTCGTCGTCTGCCGTGAAAAAGAATATTGCAGTCAGTTGGCATCAATGCATATCGTACAAATAAACGCCCTAGGAGAGAAATACAATACAATACAATACAATACAATTTTATTAGGTCCCTCCATTACATGGGTTTTGTGGTGACCACGTCGTATACATGCGAAAACACATCTGGATAAAACACTGCAGTAAAACCGGATAGAAGTGAAACCACAGAGTAAAATACACATCTAAGACATCTTCCGGTACACTAACCAGTCGACCACACCTACTGTTGACGCGCTCCTGAGGACTCGTTCCAGTGCTGGCTGGCGCGAAACAAAAATCCACGACGGCCGAACTCGGTTCGGACCCGGGGCAGACGCAGCTGTCCCCGCTCGGTCGCACGCGTGGTGCGAGCTGACTCGTCGGAGCTGAGCACCAACTTGCTCCGCAGGATTTGTGGTGCACTGTCCGAAGTAAGTAGGCGACTAACCACAGCTACGTCACTGTCACGAATCAAGTCGTCCACACACTTCCAACCCAGCTCGTTAAGCACAGGAGGACATTTGACAGATGTTGGGCCAGGTCGTTGGTGAAAAGCAAATACAGGCTCGGTCCCAAAATGGACCCCTGTATCACGCCGTGCGTCACGCTCAGCGGACACGACCCGATAGCCTGACTGCGCCCACTCAACCAGTCAGAAAACCAGTCAGTTCGACCAGCCAGAAAACCAGTCAGAAACAAGGAACCGCGTTCGTACAGTAGCTGGCTATGCCATCTACAGTATCTGGCGACGATTCTTCGCTTCTTCCTGAATTCTTTTCACTCTCAAAATCGTAGTACGATGCGTAGTACGTTTGCGTAGTCATGCGATACACTCTTACAACTAAACGTGGTGCATAATTACAAAATAATTATACGTCGTTAAAATATTTCAGTGAAATAAGAAATTAGTACCCGATGTTCCGCTGTCATGGTTAAGTATGGAGTGCAAGTAGGTATCAAACTGCATGTAACTGTGGTATATTTGGAGACAATAAAGACAACCATGAATGGAGACAACCTGAATGGAGACAACCATGACATATCACTAGAGTTAAACAACACTTTTTGACTAATAGCAAAACCAACGACGATTGGCTGTCCAAAGGTGAGGTACAACATGTTGTCCCGCCCGTCGTTAAAGTGCCACCTTTTTACGGTTTTCGGTTTAAAACGGTTTTCAGTAGACCTGACCCACCTATGACCTACCCTGAAGTTCGTTTCCCGAAATTCGTCCTAGTTTTCGAGATATTCGCATTCGAACTTCACATTGATGCCATCACAAAAAGTGTGGGAGATGGGATTTTAACATGGTAATGTTACATTCCCATATTCCACACATTTGTGATGACTTTAATCTGAAGTCCAATCGCGGATATCTTGAAAACTAGGCCGAATTTCGGGAAACAGACTTCAGGGTAGGTCATAGGTGGGTTAGGTCTAGTGAAAACCGTTTTGTGTAAAAAAGGTGGCAGTCTTCCTTTAAGCCAAAAAAAAAATCATCAAGAAAATAAACAGTTGTCCTGCCCTCTGCTATTAATGTATTACGCCATTGGGATATGTGAAACGTCATTTCTCCATCGTGCAGGAAGAAGCATGCGTGGGAAATACCTTCCTACACTTGGCCTTGGCTAATGTTTTGGCCTGACCTCGTATTTATCGAAAATACCTCGGGCCTAACTTTACATTCGCTAAAAAAAAAATTAGTCAGATCTAAACATTATTCCAGCCCTGGCCAGGAATATATTGTCTATGATGATCGGCTCGAGCCCAGTTATATAGAAGAGGAGTATCCCCCCCCCCCCCGGCACGATGTGTTGCTAGCGGAACACCTCATCCGAAAAGGTGTGCTTGTGCC